CCCCAAAACCCCAAAACCCCAAAACCCCAAAACCCCAATCAACATAAATTTATATTAAATCCATCCTAACATGAAAAATCGCATTACTCCTCTCTGTATCAACCCAATCAACACCCTAAACCACCCTCCAAAACTACCAAAACCACGTTTTGTAAGTCATTTCCCTCCCTTCTCCCCCTAAACCCCCTCTCAACATCTTCCTACCCCAATTCTCTCCTAAACTCCACCGCATAGGTTCCACTTTTCCTCCTATTTTAGACTTAAACTTCTAAATTTACCCCTTTTGGCTTACAGATTAGTATTTTTGAGAAGGGCTCTGTGTAATGTTGCTAGAGGGATCTCTGAGTGGGATTTGGGATATTGGGACTGTAGGGTTTTACAGTCGTGCATTAATCCGGATTTTGAGTTTCTCTTTTGACTTATTTGGGTTAGGTATTACAGTTTTTTAGGATTATTTTAAACAGAGCTCAATTAGGCTTTATTATTGTAAATTTAGGAGTTTTGTAACATTTTTGTAAAATTTGTATGATATCTCCTTGCTAACTTCTAAATTTACATCAGAAATTCATAATAATTTTATAAAAAAGATTCAAAAGTTAATTCCAACTTACTCAAATACCTTATCCTATTGATGGGTAACCTAACTCTATATAGAATAGGATTATTAAGTTTGAGGAAGAAGAGCGCAAAATGTATCAGAAATATTTTACTGTATTGAGTAGAACGGTCAACCGCAACGCTCCAAAGTATAAGGATCAGTAAGTTTCCATCACTTAGTAAAATTGCAACTATTTTTAGGAAGCCAATCAGATTTATAAGCCCAAGAATTACTGCTGGCAAACTTAATAGACCAAGGCTGTTTAGTGACCCTAGAGGGTTAAGCAATGATGCTAGCAAAAGAGATAATGTGCACTCAGCAGTCAGAGCCCGCAAAGACTTTTCTAATGCAAACAGTTTTACACTCAAAAAGGCTCCAATGTGCATTAAGCACAAAAAAGAAGATTTTGTGAGTTTACCAGATGCTAATGAAAGAGTAAGCTATTTACTGTATTCTTCCTCTAATCTTGTTTAGGTTCAAGAGTTAAAGCACGTGCCTCCTGCAAAAGCTCTTTGCAATCGTCTTAGTTCTCGTGATAGGGCTCACCAAGATAGATTCCAGATTAAAGTAAACGACCAAAAACCTAGGAGAGCAAATATGAGCATGATACCTACCATAGTTCCTCATAGGAAGGTGTCAGAGGCTATACAGAGGTGACATAGTCCATTCCAGAGACAAATTGATGAAATCACTTTAAAAGTGTCAGACGCGATTAACAATAGGAGAGCATGAAATTCTCCATTTGCTTTGAATGCAACTCTTGGAAGGATCTTGAGTATGAAGAAAAAGTAAGCCTTATTCTTTACTCCTTCAGGTCAAAGATATCTACTATTTCAGACTCACTTGCCAGCTCAAGAGTGGGGAGTCCCCGAAAGATTCACTTAGACAAGCCAAAGTTTAACAGGGAGAAATTTTTGAGTGGAAAGATCGAGCACTGTCAGCTAGAGTCTCTCATATAATTTCCAGCATACATGTTTAAATTTAAATTAATCATAAAAACTTGCCAAAGATTTTTACGATGAATTAGGACAAGATAGTTTATACATGTTTTGCCAAGCCGTACAACTTGAAGTACCTACTTTTAGAATGGGAAATTTTGGATGAAGAAAACTTCATAAAATTCATATAAACACTTGGAAATGTCCAGATTTCTATATAACACAGATATGTGAGTCTCAAGGATAGGCTACTTTTTACATAAAATATGAATTATTACCTCTTAAACTTTTATGAGCTGTGAGTGGTTAATATATCTGGAACCTGTCTGAAAATCCTAGTTTATATTACAAAGTACCTTGCTAATATGCCTAAAATCTTTCAATATCTGTATCCTTTATGTTTCCTCAAGGTCTATATCTGATTAAGAAATATTCCGAAGAATGAAAAGCCTTCAGTTCTTCCATTTCCCTCTAATTTTCTGAAACTGTTTCTAGGAAGAAGTCTCTTAAGAGAAATGACTGTATGGCTTTCTGGGAGTTAGCAATGAATAGTCCTCTTTGCTGAATATCCTAGCGAACCTCAGAAAAGTATTAGGAATACTCCTCTAGGCTTAGACTCGCTAGCTAGATTGCTTAGAACAATCCAGCACTTGGCAACCAGGATTTTCCTTGATAAAAAGTTCGAATTTTTCAGAAAAGGGGAGTAACTTGTTGTATACCGAATATGTTCAAAAAGAAAATTAGATAGATGAAGAGAAGCTTTATTTATAGTATATCTCAATAGCTCAGGCCGATAGTTAGTATGAACATTCTTACAGCCAAGTTTGGGCTGCCCTGAAGTGTAATATTTTTAATTATATCAAAGGGATTTTATGTTTTGGGAAGATTACCATAAATGCTATTTTAAATATTTCCTATTCATCGAGCGAGAAGAGGATCAACAGAGATACGGAGTAGTGTAGTCTTATTAGAGACATTTTAAAGCATGTTTTTGGGATATCTTTTAATTTTCAAGAATATAAGTGGTTTAAAATTCTTTTTCAAAATTTTTGTTCTAAAATCACTCAATAACTTATTCCCATCAACTGTATTCAACAACGCTTATAAAACTCGGGGTTTTGGGGTTTTGGGGTTTTGGGGTTTTGGGG